TAATTTCTTCCAAGTTTGATCTTTTTCAGAAGCTGACTTAGTTCAGTTTGCCTCACCCATAGAAGCCTCATCAAAATTCTCCACAAGATCTGGAACCTCATCATCATCCTCTTCTCCAGCAGCAAGTGGTGCTTTTCCATCCACAGATTGCTTGGGCAGAGCTTCAGCCAGTCTCCTTAAACCAGTCAGACTGTCTGCACCAAGCTGGTTCAAGATACTGGGTAGCATTTCTGTCAGTTGTTTTGTCTCAGCATGGCCTGTAATGGTGAAAGTGTTTGCTGCCAGAGATGCCTGAACTTTTGAGTTGTTGAAGTGGATAACTGTTCCCTGGTTTGTAAACATATTCACCTCTTCAATACCAGAGATATTGTTTACCCCAAACTTCTTTAATGAGAACTAAAGTTTTTTATCATCTGCTGTGGCTGTTCTATGAACCACCTTCTTTCTGTGAGCAGTTCCTTTCCCACCAATGCACACTTGTGCCTGCAGTTTGGTGAGTTTTTCCTGGTTCATGATAGTTTCTTTCATCTTGTCAGAGCAGATATGGGACAGCACGGGAGACTAGGGCTGGCACTCAGGGGGTCTCGGACAGACCAGCTGAGATTAGGCGCACGCCGAGCCCTACTATTCTTGATCATGTGCAGGAAATCGCATACTCTATGCAGTGTAGGCATCATCTCACTAATCATTTTATTTTTTATTTTTATTATTTATTTATTTATGTGTGTATAGCTCAGCCCACCAGTGGGCGGGGCTGGCTGGCATGTGGTGCTGGGGGATTGAACCGCGGTCCCTGTGCTTTGCTAAGCTTGTTCTAAGTAGGTGCTTTAGACCATGGAGCCATCTCACCAGCCCTCACTAATCATTTTAAAGAATGCAGCACAGTCATTTCTTTGACCAATGAGAAGATTAACAGCTCCTGAAGCCACACAGCTGTCAGTAGCAGCAATAGGGCCTACCAAGGCCTATGGCCTCATCCTACCCCAGAACATGTTACTGCAACAGATTTGTTACTTATTAACAGATCCAGGGAAATCAAAACTAAGTGAGATAACTTCACATCCATGAAGATGACAATAATAAAGACTTAATTTCCAAGCAGCAAGATATAGAAGGCATAAAGAAATTATAACAGTGGGACACTGCTGGTGGAAATGTAAATGATGAAACCACTTTGGGAGTGACAATCTACAGTAACACGGAAGACACCCTGCATCCTAGCAGCTCTCTGCAAAAAGGCTTATATTCACACATATTCATAGTAGAATTATTATAATAGCCACAAAGTAAAAATAAGATATGTTGAGCAAGTGATGAATGAATAAAAGACAAAAAGTGGCACATTCATACAGTGGAACATTATGCAAACAAAGAAGAGGGGAGTGAAATATTCAACAGTATGGATGAGCCTCAAAAACGTTCTGCTCCAGGCATAAAGCCAGTTACAAAACACTCTTATTACACAGCATATGATTCTTTTTTATTTATTTTTTTTCAAAGTTTTATTGATAAACAGATAGCAATGAGACAGTTTCAAATCAAATCGGAAGTACAGTTTCAACAAATAATACACT